TACAATGAAACTATTCGTTGTTCAGAATTTTAAATTAAAGAGTTTTGTATAAATGAGCAACAGCAGAGTTGTAATCGTCCATTGTAGTTGTTTGCTTTTTCTGTTCGATGCTGCAGCCACTTCTTCGCTTTCCAGATATTTGTGTTCTTCAATATTAGACAGCCCTGAATACTCTTTACAGAAATAACTTTGCTTGTTCAGGGAGTACTTAAATGTGAGTACTTAAATGATGTTTTCTTTTTGAATTTGCGTTAAATATAATACTTTTTACATTCAGATTGTAAGCCTTACAATCTTAATGTTGAAAAAAAGTATTTTATTGCAATGAGACTTTATCATACGTGTTTTCTTACAGAAATGTTTGAGTAGTTTGTTAGGTCCGGCATGTTATCGTTTGCTTTCAATAATGCATCAAGGATGAATTTGTTTTCTGCAACCGAATATCTTACAATATCTGGAAATTCCTTGGAATTGATTTTTGCTTGCTCATTGACAAGGACATGGTACATTTTTGTTGACTGTCCCTTTTAGTGTTGACTTTAGTGAAAAACTGTATACCATGTAACAATCATTCAATTAATCATTACCGTTACAGAGTCAACTTGCCATTAGTTTACTGTCTCTTGATTCATTACAAAAATTGGTCTGAGTAATCTTTACCTGGCAATGAAATGTTATCAAGGCTTACTGCAGCTCCGTCTTGCAGGAAAATAAACCTTTTGAAGGGATCCACTGTTTGAATATTGCCATTCCTCCAATCATCCTGCCATTAACTGTTTCAACCAGATCGTCATCTTGCTGGCACTCTCTCAAAAACTGCAAATGTTTCCTCTTAGTCTTACACGGTCTTCTTTTGGTGGAGGCTTGCCTGCAGCTTTCTGTAATGATGATAATTGACATCAGGATAACATTCACCCAAAAGCAAAATATTCGAACGTAAAGCTGTACTGTTCACCGAAAGCAAAATATTCAAACGTAGGGGTGTATGTTTTTTTATATTTATTGGGGAATATTGGTGTACATGTATTCATGCACTGAGATGTTTGGTTAACCTTGTTCTGCCAGAAAGGTCTAGATGCAAACATAAAATGTCATATTATTGTTAACCTTGCTTCAAAATGGCATTTTGTGATATTCATGTACATGATCATAATTGACCAATACGGGACAACCTTCCAATATTTTTCTATTAGGTTTATTGGGGTTTCACAGCCTTTATGTTGTTCTGATAAAGAAAATACATGTAAGAATTCTGTATCACAACAAATTTCACAGGAAATATTTATCCATTATGCAAAATGTTGCTTAGGCCTACTAGTAAATAAATAAAATGATGCCATTTTACTGATCCTATCAAATTGGGTTTTTTCTTTTAGTACATATAAGATCGTTCATCGTAAACTCTGCGTCAGATGTTAATTGTTGGTATTCATAAATTTCAAGTATCCTTTTGTTGATTAGATATTTATTTTCCAATCGATCGAGTTGATTGAGTATATGAGAAGGGGTAAAATATCCACTCATTTACAGTTTGTTGATATGCCTACAACTAATTAATGTATGGGATGTTATTTTTCAACATGTTACTTACGTCTCTGTTGCTCTTCATAGTGAAGTATTGGATGTCTAATCGAATCCTCATCCACCCAGATATCATCTCCAGGATATATCCCGTAAAACTCACTAGATGACCCCTAACATTATCGTCTCTGACTACATGTACCTTAACAGCACACCATCTCTCTAACTCATCAATCGCCTGAACCCGACTTCCAATAGAGAATTTTCCTGCCCGTTTTGTCTTCAAGGTTTTCTAGTCAATTTTTATGATCCTACACATAAAAGCTGGTGGTTTGCAGTAGTGACCACTACCATCAGTGGATGAAACAAATCAGTCAATTACTCGTTACCCACGTGGGCATATGGTGTACCTGTAGAGGTCAATAGGCCATATATACTTGGGCTGACCACCACAAGGGGGTATTAAATTTATGTCCATTGGGGGAGCTGTCACTTAGGAATGGATGTTTTCTTTCCGAGTTAGAAAGGTCTAACTCGGATTCGTTTAAATGGGAGAAATTCGTAATGGATTACCATGCACACACAGCGAACCACCAGTCACACTTGCCAACTGCATGGCGCCAGTCAGTGGCCGTGTCTCACACACACACAGCCCTGTTTGACCTCAGTTTCTTGTCCCGAGGTCGTGCATGCGTGGCCCAAAAGCGTACGCGAGGTTTTACAAGATTTATGCGAGACTAAAGAAAACACAAAAAGTGCCTGGATACGTGTACTGTTTGGCCAAGATGGCTAAATATGTGAAAAGTTCAAATCGTGTGCTTTATTTTGATACCAAAAATAACTGCTTTTGCCAAATATAAAGTGTTGTCAGGGCCTGTCGAACAAAATTATATTTTTTATCAACAAACATGACAAAAGCGAGGGCCGATAGTTTTTAGGTGTACATTGGATTCTTAAAAACGGCCAAAGATTCATAGATAGAGGAAGGTATACGTTTCATTTTCATGTGAAACACGTGCAGGAGACTTCTAATGTTTGGTCCAAATCGCCGGTTAAAAAAAATGAAGACCGTTGCGAGATTTCATGATTTGCAATCACATGTACGTGTGTAAACGAAAGTAAGTACGCTGACGTACATTGGTTTGAAAACATTGTGAATAGCATGTGCGAACGTGCAATGAATGACTTATGAATATTAAGCAGGCCATACTCGAACTCGACCATTCAGTGGGCGTATGGGGTCACAAGGTCACACCGTGTTTGGGTTCCTCGCTCTATGCTTTACAATGGCGACGATATTTCGCATTGTGACAAATGGAAGTTGTTGGAAACATTAGGTGTACATCAAATTCTTAAAATATTGACGACATCACGTTCACAAGATTTTTTGTAGATGAAGGTTCATTCTTTCCTTTGACAACATTTGGGAGACATTCGTCGTTGAAAAAAACTGAAAATTTCATGACCTAATTTTTAGTTGATTTGTCCGTGAAATAATACCGTCAAAATGCATCGAAATCCTTTTTTTGAGAAAAAAAATACCTTGATGGATGTATGAAGTAGGTCTTTAACTACCGAAAACAACTTTGTTTGTTTGGATGGGTTGTGGTTTGCCATGAAAATCACGAATTTTCGGAAGCCTTTTTGACGGCCATCTTTCGCTGGCCTCGCGTTGCTGTCAGTTGTGTGGACGAGAAAATAGAGCAGCTACGCGTGACACAGCAACTGACTGGGCATGGCGCTGAAGCGCGCACCGGATGCCTGTTTGATGCACCACTGCTGCACTAACTATGAGTCTTCACTTGCATCACGGCAGAGGTAGAATGGCAGCCGAAGTTGGCTGACAAACAGTCGTCGGGTGCGCGCTTCAGCGCGCAGTTGGCAAGTGTGGCAAGTGCAGTTGGCAAGTGTGACTGGTGGTTAAAGTATTTTAAGTATTTTTGCACTCCTTAAATTGTGTTTCTTCATCAGATTTGGTACTTTTCAGGTCATGGCCCAGTATGGAACTCTTTCCTAAAAGATATGAATCTGGGACAGAGAATCGCGTTTCCAATGTGGTTAGAAAATACTTTGAAAATCTTCTTGACTTTCCATTGACTTTGAACACAAATTTATGCTACATGCTGCATTCTTTCCGTCTGACATGCCAGAGTAACTTGGTGCCCAACTTCGCTTTTTTATTTTTAGTACATGTACTAGGCCTAGTACATGTAGTAGGCCTAGTCTCTGTAATCGTTATCTTTAGAAACCCGTTTCTATATAAGGTTAAAGGCAGAAAGGACTCATCAAAACAGCTGACTAAATGACACTCAATACGTACATCCCTTTTTTTTTCAATCATTCAAGGGAGGACACCTTCTTGAATATTTTGTTTATTATATTGTGGAAAGTGGGCATGTCTTCGATTTATGAGGGAAATTATGGGGTAAAAGAGTCATTTGAAAAGATGACGACGACAACCAGAAAACAGGCTCGAATTTATGGTGACAGTGAAAACTTGATGCAATAAAGGCTAGATGCTGATCATGCTGATTGGTTTATAAACAAATTAATATTTTTTGAAAAATTTGTTATCAGCCAATCAGCATCAGGCTTTCATTCTGTCTGGCTTGCGTCTCTGATTGCCAAAAAAAAGATAGGAAAGTCACATTTTCTTCGAAAGTGCGTTTCAAAATTACAACAAACATGAGTTAATCTGAAGACAAAAGACTGGCCCGCAATAGTTGTTTTGGTACTGAACAGTCATGCAAAAGTCAGTTTTGAACGGAACGGAACCGGTAAAAAATAGAGGTGTTCTGAAGATAACGATTACCCAAGTCTCAGTACACAGTGTAAGCCCCATCGGAGTTACATGTACCACTGCGTGTGTGCACATCACATGACAACAATGGTCTGTGGATAAACAAAGCAGAAAGACTTCCATACCCCACCTGGACATCACTTGCCACCCTGTGCACAAACCCTATTATGAGACTGGTCAGAAAAGTTCCAAGTGTTTTCTTGGTGACTGCTCTATGTTCCGACACCCCTATGTTCCGACAACCTAGATTGTGTTACTCCCGGTTAGGGTTAGGGTTAGGGTTAGGAATAGGAATATGTGCAGTCGGAACATAGGGGTGCCGGAACATAGAGGTGTAACCGTTTTCTCAGTAAAATACTACAATATTTTCCCTGCAAAATTTGGCTTTTTAGGACATGTTATCGGAAAAATTAGTGATGTCCATACATGTATATTTATGGAATTCTTTCCTTAAATTGCACAAAATTTGGAGCATACACATGATCAATACAAAACATGCCATTAAACATTCAACATTTTGAATCAAAATCTACTTCAAAACAAGAACACTTTCTTTGATTTTGTTGGTACCCTGCTATGATTTCACATGCATGTGGCAAACTGTTCATCCACAGACCCTTATCACTGTCATGTGATGTGATGTGCGCACATGCAGTTGTACGAAGGACATTAACTATTAGGTCAGGGAGCCAGACGCTGCTGTAACGATAGCAATTGCCACAACAGTAGCCTCTGCATTATTTTTAACATTTGGACATAATCTGGCGATAGTACTTACATGGCGTTTCAAACAATTAACAACCCAACCATTTTCCAACAAAAGCATCAGATTTCACCCTCAAAACGGCCGCAGAATTACTTTATGCCACCTGAGATACAATTACAGATTTATGATTTGAAGATCATGATACTAAGCTTTACTTACAATCTGGATGAAAAGTGAAATTTACCGTTTATCGGCGAGGGCTCCGTTTGGAATATCGCGTGGATTCCATTTTCAAAATTGTCCTCCTTTCTTTTGCAATTTTAGTAAAGTATGGCGACAGGCGTCCAACATGACCTGATGGAGCAGGCACAGTGCTTTTGGTCAATGCTGGATGAGCTTGCAGAGACCGATGAAGATGCATACAGGAAGTTCATGGCCACAAACCTCCAAAGAGGACAGCAAGAATTGACACCGGCCAAGCCATGGATGTGTGTCAAGACCCGTATCATGGTAGGTTCACTTAGGCTGAAAATATGTGTGTGTTTACGGTAACATCCTAACAATTATCCAGGTTGGTAGGTAGGACAATTATTTTGTTGATAACTTTCTTTATGTTTGTCTGTCAGTCAAAATACTATTACTCTGGTTATTAATTAACCTGTTGAATTGTTTAATTTAACCATCAACACACTACAATACTCACATAGGGGCAATTCCGTAAAATCCAACGGACCAATCGGACTACATGATTTACATGTACAATGTCGTTAAGGTGGTGGTACCGTAGTTTGGTATGTAATTGTTTTCTACTCATTAGATGTCACATTATTAGTGATGTATCACATTCACTTTTCCAACAGCAGCTCATTAAAGTGTCTGACATTTATGCCCAAAGTTACGGAATCGCCGACAGCGAAGACCTTTTTTCATTTTCAAAGTGTACTTTCGTTTCAAAGATTCAAATTCAGCAAATGGTCAGTGAGGGATGCCAAACACAAGCAAGTGAAGATGACGTCATTACACGGCGCCCTCTTGTGTCACGTCAAAAAAAGTTAATTTTGGTAAACCCTCCCTATGCAAACATACATTTTGTGCCAAGTAGTCCTTTCAGTCCAAATCAACCAAGTGGCTGTTTTCAACAGTTAAGAATTTCCAGCCTACGCAGGCGCGGATCCAGAGGGGGGGTTTGGGGGGTCAAAAAAAAAAACCCAGCTCTGTCAAACATTTTTTTTTCAATAGAAATTCATGAAAAAAAAAATGCGAACCCCCCCCTCTGCTCCGACACCCAAATTTTGTTTGCTAGTGATAATGTCCGCTTGCAAAAAAAAACGTACAGAGCCAGCTTGGTTATTTTTGAAGTTGCAAGCAAAGTTAGGGTGTCATTTGTTTTGGGACACCCTGTACAACACAGTTTCCAAAAGTCTATAGTTTGGTAATCCCCACAAAATGTGAACGAAATTACATATTGGATGTGTGCTGTATGCTGTCAGCCAATCACTCATTAAAGACAAACAGATTGAGTTTGTCTAATAAAGACGTTGTCACTGAGGTGAGTACATGTACTCCAACAGAAATGAAAAGCACCAGCAATAGTCCCATATCACCATTATTCCTTTCACCTGGTGTGCTAATCCGTAAGCAGCGGGGCAGCACCAAATATGGGATTGTTTGTGGCAGCTTTTTCATTGGGTATTGTTGGCAGAATTTGCATCAAGGTCTGTGAGAGTCAATGGTGGATGACCTGAGAATACAAACCCAATAAACGGGGCAGTGACGTTGGAACGAGGAATGCTGAACTTGAATAGATTCTAAGCTCTCTGGCTCGCTGTAGGTAAACTATTAGGGAATACCCCCGGTACCAATTTGTACAATCAACAATATAGTCTGGGTATTCAGTTTATTTCTCATAAACTGAGTGTACAATTGTACGTGCTCTATGGGGAAGCTTAGATTGTCAGAATAATCTAGGGGTCAGCCTAATTTAAATATCAAGGTGTGCACCAATAGGGTGGTATGTTCAGTGTGACCGAGAGTGGTGCAGGAGAAATAGGCCAATCAAACTACAGGGTGGCACAGCACAAACGCATGGCAATTGCTTAATTCTTCTGAGTAACTACCCAGCATGACGTCATCGGGACTATAAATAGGGGCTGGGCAGAAGTGGTTTTATCATTTGCGCGCCTTCGCCTTTCAGAGTAACTTGGATTCTGTTCTTGTCGATTCTGCACTGCACCTTTTTAGTACTGCAATCTTAGATTTAGTTTCTGGAAGAGTTTAGCATTGATTGTTTGTGAGGCCAGCCACAGTTGTGTGTGTAGTGCTGTATACAGGGGAGGAGTTTCTGTAGGTGAGTAGCCATTCTTTCTTTTTGTGTGTGGAATCATTTAGTGACAATTCATGTTGCTAGTAGGACTGCTGTTTGCAGAGTCAGAAATGGGGTACAACTTTGAAGTGCAGTTTTACAATTTATCGATCAGCTAATGGACGAGGATTTGGTTCGCAAGTTGATTTGACACTTCAGATGACATCATGTAGCTAGTCGTATGCTGGTGTCCTACGTGTAGTCACCATGACAAATTGGCAAAGGGTTTCAGGTTTAAAGTGTGATCGTGTTTGGTACGGCAACTTGTAGAAGATAACGTGAAGTTTCGATTCAAATGCTAAAACTTTTGTTGTCACATGGGGTTGAACTCCTGTCAGCAGTATTATAGTGTAGTCCACCGAGTTGAGTCCAAGCAGATGGAGTCCAATCGAGTCCAGTCTCTTTTCCAGAAGTCAAGCTATTAAAGTCCAAGTTTCATGATTTGAGTCCAAGCTAAATCCAAGCCTAGGCATGAAAACACATTCAGACCACATCACTTACCATGAGCAGTGTTTAAGGGACAACATACAGAGAACAGTTCGTGTAATTATAACATCCTGCTGCATATTGCTTCATAATCTGCAGTGAATATCGTGTGATGATGGTTCTATAAGTTTATTTGAGATGCCTACTGAGCTTGTCTACAATTATGTGAAAATGTGAAGTTAAATGCAGTCATTTAACAATTATCAAATACATGTACTGTGATGTGGGAATTTTTTATTGTAATGGATTTTCTACTTGTACCGTAAGTTATAATTTAACGAAAAAAGTATACATGTTCTATTTTAAAGCCAGAGTCCATCATCCAAAAAGTAACTGGTGAAAAACATACTGATTGAAAGATAGTAAGGGGACTAAACTCCTTGTGAAATTATTCTTTCTGGCAAGCTGTCATTTTAAAGAAATCACCAAAAGAAGGCCTTTCCAATGTCTTAAGAAGCACCGTTGGAAATTTCTGTTAACTAGTAGTTCGTTTATTCAGCGAAGCGCGTGCAAGCGTTGACACAATGCACACGCGCATGGTTGCTATAATTCGTCGGATCGGTGCGCAACATCGCGTAGCTGCAATCGGCTCAGTGAGAACTGTTTCGGACGCTGAATTCAGGCCCGATTCAAAACATGATTTAGCAACTTTTGATTCGAAATCATAGAATTTCGTAGATCATAGAATGTTGTTTTTCTTGAAATATACAGCTGAAGCTGAGCTGAAACTTCATCAGGTCAATTGTTCAGCACCCTTCTTTAGATTTTGAGCACTTTTGTTGCTTCAAATGAACAGAATGCGCAAATTACAAATGATGGACTATATCTTTAACCATGTGCAAATTAATTCATGCGATGTACATGTAGGCTGCTGATGCTGTGAGCCAATCACTCACTACCAAAGAAAAACATGTTTGAGTTTGCCCACGGACCATTGTGGTCCATGGTTTGCCTAATACAGTACTTTTCACAACAGGTGAGTGCTCCAAACGAAATGAAAAGCACAGGCAATAGTTCCATATCGCCATTATACACATACACTCAACCAGAAAAGAAATCCCCCAATACTTTTTGTCCACTCTAAAACTATTGCGCATCTTTTGCTCAAATAGTGACAAGTACAGAAATTCCTTAGCAATCCAGCCATACTCTTTATTTGGCACAAAATAGCGATAATGTCCGTACACAAAGTGTACGAGCAAGTTGAGTGTGAACATTTTGTCTCTTACGCAATCTTCCAACAAAAAGTTTTGTTGGTAATGGTTTTACCCTTTCCTTTACTGAACCTCAAAGAACATGCAAAGTACATTTATGCAGTAAAGGAAATGGTGAAAAAATGTGAAGAAATCAATTTTAAGAATTTTTTGTTGGAAGAGATGAAAGAGCGTTCGAGACAAAATGTTTACACTCAACTTGCAGGTGTACAAAAGTGCAAATTTGTTTCAGTATTATTTGTCATAAGTTGTATAAATGTGTACACATCACTGTTTTGTGGCCAAATTAAGAGTATGGCTGGATTGCTAAGGACTTTCTGTATTGATTAGTGGTTATTTGAGCGAGAGGTGCCTAGTAGTTCTTGAGTTAAAGACAAACAAACTTGAGGGGGGGGACTTTCTTTTTTGGTTGAGTGTATACAAGTTTTACCTGCAGGGTGTGGCACATGTATGTGTATATTATCCGTAAGGCATACATGTAAGTAGCAGAGCAGCACCAAATATGGGATTGTTTGTGGCAGCTTTTTCATTGGGTATTGTTGACAGAATTTGCATCAAGGTCTGTGAGAGTCAATGGTGGAAATGGGGTAGTGATGTTGGAACGAGGAATGCTGAACTTGAATAGATTCTAAGCTCTCTGGCTCGCTGTAGGTAAACTATTCGTGAATACCATTGTACAATCAACAACATACAATAGTGTGGCGGGGATCTCCCCGGGCCAAACCTAAGTTCGTTGGGACCAAGTCTGACACCTATTAGAGTGTAGCTGATCTTCCCGAACGCAAGCTTTCCCAAGACGAGAGACCACCCAGAGCGACCTCAAAGCCTAGGGAGCAGGTCCATTTTGGAGGAAATATACCGCCGATTATGATGATTGTGATTACCCACTATTAATTGCACAATAAACCAACAACAAATACACATGGACAACAGGAATGTCGGCACCACAAATATAATCGTAATTTATTAAACAATAATCAAGAAATATGCAGTAGTGATAGAGTTTTGATGGGGTTGTTAATTATCAGGGTCACTTAATTACACTTGGGAGTTAACTGCGGCCTCAACTAAGCAGCAACGCGCACGCTTGAACAATGCACCCAATGTAAACAATGCACTGCTAAGTCAACAAGGTACACTGATGTAAACAATGCACGGCTAAGTCAACAATGTACACTACGGTGCAATGCACACCAAGTCAGCAACGTTCACTCAGTAAACAATGTACCTAAGTAAACAATGCACACCAATGTAAATAACACACGCCAATGTAAATAACACACGCCAATGTAAGCAATGCACGCCAATGTAAGTAATACACGCTGTCAGCCTTAACCTGATTTACGCCTTACCCATGCAAGCTAGCGTCAGCATCGTACCGTACATTCACTTGTACGGCTGCGCGTCAGCATCACACAGCGTAACTTCAGCACAGTCAGGGCCAGCGC